GCATATACATCATGATTTCTGCATGGATCTGGACACAGTTAATTACTATTTATGAAATATAGTACACTACAGTGTGTCATGCTCCTCAACACTGGAGATTCAGTGCTTAGAGGACAAGGCCATAGTGTTTTTGTTTTACAAACAAAGTCATGGTCAAGTTATGCTCAGATGATAAAGTGGCTCTTTGCTTTTGCAGATAGAGTGCTTGAATGGTTGGAGTTTTCACAGATACACAGCCTTAGTATCAGCAGTGCAAGTAGTTCCCATAGGAATCGTTCAGAAGAACTGAAACTACTGACAAAACTCTCTTCCTCAGAAATTCAGAAACCAAATCACATTGGGCCAACAATGTATAGAGAGACCTGCTATTGGGCTTTTGGCTGGTTACAAAGCATATCAGCTCAGTACACACTCATCTTCCCTTTATATTTTTTTGGTGTGGATCGACTTTATGTTTCTGTAGTTTGTGTGTAAAGCTTTGACCCAAGGGAAAGCCCCTCAGGTCATTTGAAAAAGACCTCTTAGCTGTTCTACAGTCGAGGTTGGAACTGGAGCCAATACCTATGTGTCACTGTGTCCATGTAACACTGTAGACACTAGCTGCTATATCTAATTCTGTAGTATAAAATTACTGAGAGTGCAAGGAAGTGCCAATATCAAACATGTAGCCAAATTCACCAGTTTTAAGAAACACATGGTGTCCAGAATTGCACTGTCCACCCTCATGGACTCATGGATTTTAAGGCATGTTCCTGGTAAGTCCATGATGGCTTAGGGCTGTCCCAATGTCAAACCATTGAGTGTGTGACAGCTCTCTAGCAGACATTTCGCGCCCTTTATGCACACTTTCCGTAAGTAAGCATTTCTGCAGAATTTGCTTGAGGTTCATAACTTTATGACTTTTATCATGTCGTTACTGTGGTTACCAGGGGATGCCTGGAAGCAATAAAAAAAAAGTTAACATTACAAGAAAAAATATGTGAGTATAAATACAGCCACAGCCTGGACTGTGTGTAGTTATTTGTCCTTTGATGGCATGATGATAAATTCCAAATATTCACTCATCAGCTCTTAGCCAACATTACTAATTTGTTTACAAACAGGAAGCGAAGGGAGGAAATAAAAATGTAAAATCAATAGTCCCAAACGCACAATTGTACATAACATGTTTGGCGTTGTCAAGGTAATGTGATGTGTCACAAAGTGCTGTCCCATTCCTCTTTATACCATTTTTAGCCCTTGCAGCCCTTTCACACTCAATCATTTACCAGGTGACGTCAGTTAAGCCTGTGGGGGTATATTTGTCACAAAATATCACAAATGTCACAAATGTCACATGAGGAATATTAAGGTCAAGCAAGAAGCAAATTCTCAATGCAAGACTGAATGCGTTTCAATTGGAGAATCACACACAAATGAATTGGCACAGTTCTCTTTGGAGGAACTGGATGAAAATATGGTAGTCTAGCTATAAACAATACTGCTAACCCTGAGAAAAAGACCACTCACTTGCTAATCAATTGCATTGAGAGTTGAGTGATTCAGAGGAAAAGCAAACAGCTTGTCACGTAACCTTCACTGCGAAAATTCTATTTTAAATGAGAGATGAACATAAAATCACTTTAATGAGTTGTGCATGGCCACACTACTACTGAATCAACAAACAATAAGAAGGCTTTTGGCAGGGCAACTATGAGAGTGAGTGTACAGAGATGCAGTAAATATCGATTGTTTGGTGAAACTTTGCCGAAGAGTCATTTTTCCCACCTGCCCACCAAATGAATCATCAGTGGATTATACAAATTAACTGTTAAAAAAATGTAATATTCCATGACGACTGATTGTTGAAGCCAAGGTTGTGTAAGTCTTTTGTGAGAAAAAATTATATAATTTTTGCTGGTCCAAACCCAATCATCGGCTTTGTTCAATTACAAAGCTGTGATATCTTTTATTGCAGTGTTTTGATTGCAGTGCTACAGTGTCTGTATTGAGTTCAAGACTAATGAGACAGACTGCACTGAAATCTACTGGAAAGGTTTTTGAAAAGTGAGTGTTAACCCCCAAGCATTTATTGAACATGGTTTCTTAATTTCATTTCAGTAACATAACCCAAATGGCTTTTTTCAAAATTCAAAAATTTTGCACTGCCTCCTTAGTACGGAAAACAGTTGCTTTTAGATTTTTTTGTTTTTTGTCTTCAGATAAAAGGACAAAATCCCACTATTTCTATAGTTGCTCATGATCAGGAAATGTTTGATTTTATTTTGCTGATTAAATATTTCTGATTTTTTTTTGCCACTGAGCAACAATGTGCATTCAGGAAGAAGCTTTGGTGTCATGTCTGGGAAATCCCATATTTGCTATGAATATAAACTTTACACATATGCACTTAACCTCTTGTTCACTTTGTTTTTCGTCATATTTTTACTTTTGATGTCCAAGTCTTTTGTGGACTTTTTGCAAATTAATTTTCCACATCAGTTGAAGTACTGTAAGCCCAAGCAACCACTCTGAAAGTCTTCTCATCTCCTACTAACCTTTTCAATAGGAAGTGGGAAGTGATTTCACCCACAAAAATACTGTCAGAATTACATTAAATGTATAAGTGAGCTGCCTATGTCATCTGGTTTTGAGTTCATTTTAATTGTGGATGGCAAATGTATCAACTGGCTGACAGCTTTGGGATATCATCCAAAGACATACTCTGAAGTTTGCTTCAAATAAGTTATACATTTATTCTGTAAAAAATGAAAATGAAAATTGAAGATATATTGTGTATGAGAGAATGCTCATCAAAATGGTTTTCATGCATAATAAATTCTTTCAAGGTCACTTTTTCTACCCCACCACTGCCATGGTTTCTATGGAAATTAGTCCAGTTGATACTACAACACAGAGTGACCTTATCTACAAAGAGCCCAGAGGAGTTGGAAACACTACATTTGAGCCTGACTTTCAAACATTCATAATACTGGAATCAATATGTGAATTTTTGGACGGAGAGCATTTGACAAGTTGGATGTTAACAAACTCCTGATAGAGGAAACAATATATTAGCAGCCCAAAATATTTCTCAATAACATCAAATCATAAACACTTCAACAAAAAACTCCTTCACAAATCCACACAATGACAGCTTTCACATGTCCTCCCACTTCTTAATATAATGAAAGTGTCACATTACATGCAGTAGAATGACAGGCAGGAACAATTATGGGCATATAGATTTTTCATTCAGTAATTAGACAATTTTCCATCTGTGCCTGTATTTGAATGTTTTGAAATTACAATTCATCATTGAAGCTCTGTTTGATCTGAGCTACAATTTGATGAGGTTGGCCAAGTTGGTACCACTTATCAAGTTCACACCAAATTAAGAAAAGAATGATTTCATCTTCCACTGTAGGCTACGTACCTGTTTATTATCAGGAGCAGCCTTTGCATTTCTTGAGAATGAGACAATTTCAGTGATAGTTTTTTAAGATTTACAATGACCATTTTGTGACTTGCCCAATTCATTATAGTAGTAAACCTTGACTTTACTGTTGAGTAATCAAATCTTTTTTTCCCCTTAGAACACAATACACTGCGTATTAGCTATAAGCAGATTCAGTGAAATACACTGTTATGAAACTTCAAAAACCTACTCTAATCAAACCCTGTTTGCATGTTAGGTCCATTGTAGCCTTAGTGAGTACACTCATGTTATAGTCAAATGTTTTTTTTCCATCCAGATGGTTAGAGGAGTTGTTCAGTGTTGTGGAAACACTTTCATATTAGTGTTAGCCTAAGTGTCATTGAATAATCTTGAGGGGTTTTCAAGAATCATATATTTATTTTCTCAGAAAAGGGAAATAATTTTGTACTTTTTACTCCACTATTTTTTTACTCCACCACCTGACACCTACAGATTAAGATCTTACATACAAAATGTGATCATTTTATAAAATATTATGCAGTGCCATAGATTGAACTATCCAACAGTGCAGTTAACAACTTTATTAAACTCTAAAATTAATTCAATAATTGATCATAAAAATCCCTCTTTGCCTCATTTTCCCAGTAAATAACTTACAGCTATTATTAATTACCAATTCAAAATATACTGATTATTAATCAATCCATCATTTATAATGTCAAGATATCAAAACTCTTTGTGTATGAAGTCCAGTATACATACATATACAACTGTCACATCGCCCCCTGTCGTTTAAACGTAGGTGTCTCAGCTTTTCAGCACATAACGCTTACTAAACATGAACTCTTCTACAGACATCCCAGTTAATACATCCACTGTGACTTTATGCTTCTGTGGAAATCAATAATGTACAGTGTTGATTTTGGTCTCAGATGTCTACTTATTTTGCTTAATTTTGTCTCTTAGTATCGTCAGAAGCGGGTGTTACGCCAGGTTATACCCCACCCTTGGGTGGCCCTAAGGGACGTACAACACTCCACCAGTGACCCAAATCAGACTCACAAGACACCTCTAAAACAACGAAGGGTTTATTCAACTTAAATATGCAAAACCAACAGGACACAAAGTCAGAAAACAAAAACGACAAGCAAAAAAAAAAAAAAAAAAAAAACCTCGGCTGACAGGCAACAAGCCTGCGGTCAGCGGTCCCCATACTAGAAGCCTTAGCCCCTTCTGATGCTGGTACCACAGCTTTTAAACCATTCTTTCCCAGGCCAGGTGCTTCTCTTAGAGTAGTAATCAGGAACATCCTGGGCGGAGCAACAGGGGAAACAGGACAGGGAAAGGACACAAAGGCCAGGAACACAAGCTGCCGTAACAAGGGTATCTCCTCTTACTTAAAGTGTTTATGATTTTTTTATTTGAACTTTGTGTTTGAATTTTTTATTTGTGTAAAATAACTACGACTGTTAAAGTTGCCATGGTAACCAATAGTTGGGCTCTGGTACGTCCACAAAACCCGTTCGGCTTGCGGTCCGTTTGCTAAACTTTCCGAGGTGAAACAAGTAAGTTTTGCTCAGCTGTCATTGATCAACTGAAACGACTGGAAAATTAGCTTAATGCGAAAGTGGAAGAAGTTTCAAAATTCTGATTATCTGCTTGAGTTTTAATCGGTAACGCTACATGAACCACCATTACTAACGTTATTTAAACTGAGACAAGTAACTGACAACAGTGGCGACGTTAAGGTATCTCTTGTTCGGTCGTTTAACGAGGGTTCAACTCTGACCTCGCCTCGGCTAACTAGAACAAACTGTACATATTGTGCTTGTTCGGTTTAACCATGGACGCGGTTGTAAAATTCACAAGTCAAAGTCAAGGAAGAGACCGCATTTTAAGGTAAGTCAGAGTATTCGTGATATGAACTTAAATGTCGACAGTTTATTTTGCTAGTAGTAACATGAAGTTAGGTTACTAGGTCGGCGTGGAGCAAAGGCAGGGTGTGCTTGAGAGCTCTTCACTGAATATCAACTTTCCATTTCACCTTCTCTCCGTGTTTTTTCCTTATTTCAGAGCAACCCAATATGCGTGTGCACTGTCGATATATCTACTCCGAGACAACTCGGAAAGAAAGGACCTTGTGGCAAAACTTAAAAGTCTGGAAGCCAACATGAGTGCAGGACGAAAATGTGAGTATAACAGTAACTGTGAAGTGAAGGAGGAGGGGTCACTGAGTAGTTGGACAGCGTATTAAGTGGGGTTTTGTAATCCCAGGGATCACGAAGTGGTTTTATTAGGTCCCCAACAAAATGAGGAATAATTTAATAAAAAAACTAAATAATTCAAATTTATTCCAATTGACAATATTCTACAAAGGCTATTATAGGCTTCCGCATGTACTGTGTTCTAAAGTTCTAAAATTAAATACTAGAAACTGGACTGTGCTTACTATAAAGATCCTTGGTATACTTTTTTTTTTTGCTAAGTAGTATTTGCCGAGGAGCAGACACACTTCACAGTAAATTTTCTGCCTTTTTGCTTTCCATAAACACATGATCCTCTGCCTCCAAGTCCAAATCTCCTCTTTTAGTGTTCTGATACCTGCCTTGATTTATCACAGTTTTAAATAAAAGAGAGGGAGTTTCTTAAATAACTCCTCACTGTTGGGCTGCACACAATCACTACCTTTTAATTCCATTTATCCCTTGATTATCATTTTGATGAATTTTTAGCCTATTGAGTGTGAAAATGCCCCTTAGAATTTCCCAGAGCCCAAGGTAGTTTTGTGTTTAGAAATATATAAAATGGAGAAAAGCAGCAAGTCCTCACATTTGAGAAGATGGAACTAGCAAACTTTTTTTATGCTTGATAAATGACTTGAACAATTAATCAATCATGAACACTGGTTTTGATGAATTTCTTGTCAATTAACTTATCATTACATTGCTAGCTTTATATTTTTGCAACATGCAATTGCAGCTTGCTCTACTATTTTTCTAGTCTTCCTTGTTTTCTCTGTGGTTTCCCTACTGCTTGCAAATATTGTTCCAAGCCAGAATATTGATTCCTAATAATGTTAGTTTAGTGGTGGTTACCATTGGTTACCATTAGTTTTAGAAACTCGCATATGGAGTGAAATGAATGAATATATAATAGCACTGTGGTCAGACTGCAGCATAATAATCTGAATTCATTTATTTTCTTCTGAAGTGAGTCAGCAGCTGTTACTTTGCCCTCAAAAACCCTGTCTCGCTGTTCCTCTATAAACACAATATCAACTAGGATGAACTCTTGACTGACCACTCTTTAAGGCCAACAAGACAGAAGCTGAGTCACAGGAAACAACAAGTCGTTTGACTTTCTCTGCCTTCCATCAGGCTTAGTCTGTCAATAATTCAATCATCTTAACTGTTTTAAGAAAACATTTGAAAGCACCACTTTTTTTCAAGGAAACATAGTTAGATTAGTAAAAGAATAGAATAAAACAGAGCTTCTTCCAGACATTGTCAAAACCAAGCAATTGTTCATAAGTGCCACTGATCATTTGATGGTAAAACATATAAACCTTATCTACTATTTTAGTGTGGAATAATTACACACTACACAGCACTGGGTTTCCATGGGCATTAATATCAAGAAAAGGTTATACAATATTAACACTTGTATCCAAATATGATATCACAAATCAGGAAAAGTTGTGACATATAAGATAATGACACTAAGGAAAGATGTGTATTTTCAACTAAATCACATGCATAATGTGGTAAAAAAGTGACAAAAATTAGCAAAATGAGTTGGATGTATAACCTTCTAAACTATTACTGCTGTACCAGTGTGTACCCCAGGAAATTGTTTAACAGAGCTGGTATGCCATCCAGATTCTACACATCCTGTATTTAGTTTAATTAGTCAGTGATGGCCTAAACATTAGCCATGTTCATTAAATATAGGACAGTGAATAGCACCTACTTCTTTTTTACTCAACATTAATATATGTTTCATAAAAGTTTTGTTACTCTTGTAAAGCTGATGAAATCTCCATTCAATTTTTCATGGTTAGGGTTGTAAACTGCCTACATACTGACTTTCTCCAAAAACGCTGACACACAGCTATTTTGCAAAGATCTATTGTGGCAATATATATACACAATCTGATGTTACACAACACATATTTTTGGCTCTTCTGTGTGTCCAATCACTTTACTGTTCTCTATAAAAGTGCATAAAATTTATTTATACATTTTTTACAAGTTGAGTATAAATATTGCAATTAAGCTTTTTTTTTGTCATCCATGTGTCTTTAACCCATGGGATTAGACCAAGTTAAAGGCTGTTGTGGCTAAGTTGAAGTGTTGTAGCTTTTTCTTTTTCCCCACTGTGAGTTGAGATTGACACTGTGTGGGTGATTGCACTGTGTGCTGAGACGTGGACCTGCAGCAACACTAATAACCCTGAGACTGGCCCAGACAGTTCATAGATCGGTTTACTATACTCTAATTCTGGAACTTTTTGAACTTTGACACATTATGGTTATTGTATGAATTTTAATTTTTCAGAGCCTGACTTGATGAGCTCCACATTATGGATAAGGCACAAGTCAGGCAAGAAAGACCTTGCCCCTCTTTATCTGTTCCATTAGAGCTGTATCAGGGCTTGGGCTGGTCCAAGAGAACAGGCCTCTCTCTGTTGGTGCACCACTTAATTATCCCTTCACTGCATCAGAGCTGCAGCCACAGGGCTCTATTGCCTCTATGTCTGGCTGGCCTGTGGCTAAAAGAAACAGGCAGATCTCACAATTTATAAATAGAGCTTCTAGGAGGAGGATTTACTTGTAGATAATACCATAACATGCTTTCTGAAATGTTCCGAAAGCAAAGTATGCAAGGAAGAGCCTCAGCCAGAATTGGTGCGATTGCAGTATGTAAACACACTGAGTAACCATGACCTCCTGCAATAAGATGCTGTAGTTGAGTTTAAATCGCTTAACCATTTTCTGCTGTCCGTAGCAGACTACTCCTGTTGGCCTGACATTTCATATTAAATTGATTACTGCGCTAATACATTTTTTTTCTTCCTCCTTTGTCAGTGTTCAGGCTGGGAAACACAGTAAATTCCATTGAGGCTGCTAAGCGAACCATGCAACTCTCTGACCGAGTGCTGTGCCTGTGCCTTACTGCGGCCAACTTCAACCGCGCCCTCTACTTTATCTGTGACAATCTACTTTGGGCCAGAGGTGTCGGTCTTATCCGCGATATCGACAAGGAACGTTGGAGCCTAAACGCCTCTCGCTGTTACTTCCTCTCGCTAGTTATGAATCTGACCAGAGACGTTTACCTGGTCCTCCAATTAATGATGCAGAGAGCAAGAGATAAGCATTTTAGACAGAAAATGGATCAGCATCTCAGTGAGAGTCCTGAGCTGGCTGAATCTGTCATTCCTCAGCTGGATGCTTTGCTGTTTCTGCTGTTGGAGAGTCTAAAATCACACCCGGCTGTTGCTTTGGACACGGTGAAAAACATTTGTGATCTCTTCATTCCCTTAGACAGGTTGGGTATTTACCGGTCAAATGCAGGAGTGGTTGGATTTTGCGGCCTGATATCCTCACTGATTGGGATTGTAACCCTCACACAGCCCAAGTTGAGAATCAAACCATGATAAGGAAGGTGGAGATAAACCTTACTGACTAACTGCAGATCAGAAGGTTAATTATGGCAAGTGCTGAAAAGGATTTAGTGTCATTAAGCTGGAGCTGTAAAGGCGGACTGAGGTTAACCTGCTGCACAATGAGATTAGGCAACACACCACAGGCACATTTTGTAATATTTATGTTCAGCACCAAACTCATCCAGCAATAACTGAAGGGCTTACTAGTTTTTGATGGAAGTTTAAAACACTGGTTTCAAAGGGAGCAAATCAAGTTTATATAGTATCCTTGTTTATTTTTTATTTTAATTTTTAATTTTTAATTTTTTTTTTTTAAAGAGCCAAGGCTTAACCTTTGTGCATTCCTCTCTTCTTCAACTCTGCATTTCACACCAGCAATTTTGCAACTACTGTACTTGCGAAATAAGGGCTTCTTAATGATGCAAGCTTTTATATCTGCTTTTTCAATTTATCTTAAGGTGTTAATCTGTGTGGTGTCACTTTTAAGACCATTGTCTGTCTCTGCTCTGTATTTTGTGATAATATGCTGCTAAAAGTTTCACCCCTATCATTCAAGTGATGAATAAGCTGCTTCTCAGCCAAAAGTGCTTCTAGAGCGGATAAAGCAGCTAAGAGATTTAAGGGAGTTATCTCAGCTGTTTATTTATTTACTCTGCCATTCAAGGCATAGCCTGGACTTTGGCTGTCAACAGATTGTACTGTTTGTTAATTTAAAGAAAAGTATAAAGAAAATGAGTCCAAAAATATGAAAATGAAAATAGTGTTACTAATTGAAAAAATGTGTTTACAATTACATTCTTAATATATTGTGTAGGACTTGTATACATGTGTATGTATGTATTTTTAATCTTTGTGATGCAGACAAAACAAGTGTTTGGGGATTAACTAGAAAAACATAACCATAAAGCTGCAGTAGCATTTATTATCACATTTAACGGTGTCACCCACTTTAGATGACTAAATGTTTTCACTTTAATGTTGATTGAAAGGTTAATAAAACACTATATAATAAACATAACAATTAATTAAATTTGTGCTTTTTAAAAATTATTTATTTGTATTTCAATGATGTGAATAATTATTAAGTACCTGAGTAGTGATCATAAAAAAGTTTAGAGATAGAGGAACACTGCCACCTTGCGGAAACATGATGCCATGCTGAATTGAAAAGAGCTTTATTTTGCAACCTTACTGAGACAATGATACAATTCTTTTCTGAAATCTTTTCTCAAGAGGATGACGTTGTGATAAAGCATCCACCATCAGAAATTGCAAAAATATATTCCATTTCCCTTTCACCATACTTAGAATTTTGCCATGAAAAGAATGAACAGACTTTGCAAAGAAGAATCCCATAAAAGAACAAACACATACAAAGCAATAAATAAAGAAATTTGTTCTCCTAGGTGGATAAACTGCAGCAATTCATAATTGACAAAATGTTTAATTTCACATTTTCATGGAGGCATTGTTTTCCAGTACCAACATACCAATTAAGCACACCTGTATGAAATATGTGGAAACAGTTTCCCGGGCTGAAAGTAGAAATTAACACAAAATCCAGGCAATTCTTTCAAATATACATGTATGCAAATAGCTAACATTAGATGCAGTTTACTTGGTGTCCTGGAAAACCTTGCATTTTTTAAATGCTAAATTGACTCGAAAATGTTCTAATTAAATATATCAGTGCCAATACACATCATACATTTTACAAGGCATTTGATATCAACTTAACCAAAAAATGAATGAACGAAGCACTTTGAACAGTGGCAACAGTGTGAAACTACACATGTAAATACTGCTGGCCCAAGTTTTTTTTTTTTTTTTTTTTTTTTTTTTTTTCCCAGAATACCAATGATAGTTCCAGGCAGAGTGGCTCTGCTTTCTGAATGAAAAGGCACCTTCAGTAGTTAGCTCCTGCAACAGTCAAAACATCACAGTTAGCACTTGAGAAGCCCCTTACATAAAGGGTCTGGTTTCCCAAAAACAACAATGTTAAAATGAATGGTACGATTATCTTCATTCATACTTTGATTATTCCAATATTTTGCCCATGTAGTGCCACCCACAATGCAGTTTGTTCGATTACAATTGATCAATATGACTTTAGTGGTAAATGGGAAGCCCCTAACTTGAATTAGTTCTGATATTTATTATTAATTTCATAGTCTCTTGTTTAAATTATGTTTTGTAGACATTTTCATCCTGCTGTTATGAAAAAAAAAAGTTTTAGTACCTTTCTGTTTTGAATTAAAACAAATCATGTGAATCACAGACCATGCATCATTGATTTCAGGCCCCAGCATTAGAACAAATCCCACAGGTGTTTTCAGTGATTTTGACTGATCAGACATTTTCTCAGGTTGGATGGAGTTATGTAGCACATTTGCTAAGCTCATCAAAATGAATATAGATAAAAGAATCAAAAAAGAGTAAAAGGTCTGTCCTGAGAAGAGATCCAAACAGTCAGAATAATGAAAACATTTCTGTAGATTTGCTGGAGCTTTAAGAATCCAGAAGTTTTAGCATGGATGATATTTAATGCTTCGAATTGGTAAATACTGTTTGGACTGTTTTATCATTTCTTCCAATGGTCAGTGCTAATAAATATTCCTTTCTTGGAAACTTTCATATGTGCCGAGACAGACTTGCTGTTGCTAGTCTCAAATCCTTCAAACATCCCAGAATGCCAAATGTAGAAATGAACATGTACTTGCAAAAGAGCTGCTAAATATGTTACAGTGAGTATTTGAACTGAGAAATCAAGATAAGTATTTCTGCAATGATTCTTATTTTTGATAGTGGTACTTGATAGGATTAGACAGTGAATCAAATTCCTTTACAGTTCATGATTATTGGACAGATTATGAGACAACAAATGAAGGTAAATACAAAAAAAAAATGATTAAGACGTACATCGAAAAAACAAGAACACAGATTAGACAACTGTTGCACAACAACTATCCAGTAACTGAACTTTCCTTCAAAATAAAGACATTTATAGAAATGCTTTGAACTGTGCAGAGAACACAAAACATTTCAAAACAGGGGTACCAGAATCTTAGAAATGTGTGACATACATGTTAAGGCATATATTAACTTCATTCTCTCATTTTAAGCCATCATTAAGACAACATTTGTGAGTACAGCTACATTGGCGCAAATGTCCAGAGAACACTGAAATCTGATTACTATTCTCTACTTCAGGCCACAGCTAATAAAGGAGAAATAAAATTGCAGGTTGTGTTTATTCAAGTGTACCTGCTTTGGTGCAAAGACTTCCAAAAAGTCTAAAATGAACCAAAGTGGTTTGAACTGAGTGACCGCCCCACAGTGCCGTCCTCCATGTGCTTCACACATGGGGCTAAAAATAACATAGTCCAATATTTTTTTTTAAAGGCATCTCTGTCACATTCAGCAGAATAACATCACTGAATTGAAATATTGTTATTCAACTAAATCCCACATTAAACATCATCAAGACTTCAACCAAAGCAACATCATATTAAATCAAAATGTGTGGAATAGTTTGATTACCAAGTTAAAAACCCTGTAAGCTTTTAAAACTTGTGTGTAAAGTGAAAAGTTAGGTTTCATACAGCAACTTGTAGTCATTCATCTGCAGTGTAAATACAGTATGATTACTGTATGTCACTAAACCTGTAACCAGAGGGCTTGAGAGATGTGTGAGTTAATAATATTTTTTCATTACATAGTTCAAAAGGCAGTTCATGGTACTGTAGGCTACATGTGGGTGAAATTGACACTATCTTGAAACCAGCATTACTGTACTGTGAGGAGTGAATTTGTGGCATTCCAATATTTCTTACAAATGAAACAGGGCATTGGCAGAAAGCTACTTGGTATAATTCCTTATGATCAAAGCCCAGAGAAACTGGTGCTAACAACAAATTCTGGGTGAAAACATAATGTAGCCCGCTTTTAATCTACTCATCATCTTATGCTTTAATTGTCATTATGTGATCACATAGTGAATAACTGAGATAAACCTTTGTGTGGTCTTAGTCCTGCAGAAATCTAGGTATATGATGATACATTTTGATGATGAGATGAAATTTGAATAATGAATTTGTCATTTTGGATGTGGTCTGAAGAGAGATATACTGTTTATAGCATTGACCTTGTTACTGTCATTATGTGTGTGTATTACAATCTTATTATTGTAACTAATTAATAATTAATGTCAGCAAACAGCAAATAAACTAATTCCTCTGTATGTTAAATATAAAAACTTTAGTAGCTTTTGTTTCCCCCTAAGATTGATTGTACCATCTATTTAACACTTTTTATAATTCAATGCTTTTTTAGTTCTGACAAGATAAAAGAATAAAAATAGAATAAAAATACAATAGGCAGGAAGGATCAAATCTGTTTTGCATTTCAGGAAAATGGATTTGGCTTTCACTGTGTCATCTGACCAATTTACAGCAGAACAAAATCCAGCCATTACAGCGATAATCATAGATGAAAACCATAGTGTTAAAGGGCAACATCTGATCACGAGTCGGTGGTCTCAGCCCACTTTTGAAAAAAAAAAAAACCTTGCTCCTCGTTTCCATTAACAGGAGGAGTAAAGTGAAAAGTGTCTCTGTGACTCCAGGACCCAGCTGAACAGTCTTTGGGTCCACTATGAGTCTTTTGGTCCAGTCATATTATACCCTGCTGAGGGTAGAAGCCAGTTACTAGGAAAGTTCTTGTGTTCGGTCATAATCTGTGATCAGGCCTTTGATATGCGACAGTTTCTGATGGAGGTACTCGCATCGCTTCTTCTCTTCCCGATAACCAGGAAACTTCTAAAAAGAGGAAAAAAAAGGGGGAACCAGTGAGCTTTCGGTAACACACATTAAAAATCGGCATGATGGGCCTTGTGTAAGACCATTTTTGTATTTTCATCATAAACCTCTCTTTTTGTTTTGTCCCAGGAGTGTTTCAAATTGGATTCAGTAAACCCTCTTAACTGCACAAACTTGTTTATAAACAGCTTTTTTCACCCTAATGAATGCCACCTGTTGGTGGTGTAGCTGCTCATTTGTGAGATTTGGTCATTTGCATAGTCACATTGCTACAATATATAAGGTAACTTTTTCTGCTCTATTTGTAGGCAGATTTCACTGAGACAAAAACATGATAAATTTAGTTGTCTCTGTAGACTAGTGATATTAGGGGATTACATAATAGTACGATCAAGGCTATGTCAGAAATAAAGCAGGAATGGACTGACATTAAGTTAGATGCCAAACGTTTTGCAGACTATGGCAGACTATGTATACATGACTACTACGACAGGCCTAGATCACTCAAGAGAAAGTTTTAAATACAAGGAAACTGGTAAATACGATACATTGTCTTAAATTCTCTTTATGTGCCACGTAAGAATGAATATATTCATATGAGTGGTTATTGCATGAAGCTCAGTGCATAGTGCTTGCAGTGTTACATTGATTGAGATACAACTTAAATCATTCTTACTTTCTTATACTTTCGGTACTTTTGTAGTATTTGGTCCTCCATGAGCTGAAAAGGTTATAAAAGAGAAGGTGTTAGGGAGCCATGTATCAGATCTGTTTTCTGTCTGGTGTTTTGGTAGAAACAGAGCAGCGGGATTCTGGTCCAGACAGTACCTTGTACTCTTGTGTTCCCGGGGAGAGAGTGTTGATCTTTGAGCCCAACTGAACAAACATCTCTGTGATAGCCCCAATCCGGTCATGAAGAGCTCTGTATTCATCGTACTCGGCACAGAAGTCGTCCTTATACTGTTGACGCTGCTCCAGTGCTGTTATGGTGCTGTATTTTCTGAAAAGAGAGAACATAAGCTGTTATTTAAAAGCAGAAGTGATCCTTAGAAGCCACGTTGCCTCCACAGACCTTCCACTAGATGGCACTGCAGATCGGTGGTGTGAGAGGTCTGACACGTCACTGATTTAACAGCATGATGTGTCGACCAGATGTATAAATATAAGACATAAGGTC